CTCTGGCATCTCTATGGCTGTTTAGGGACATAATAACAGTCTCGAGTTTCTGAGCGCTCAGTCACAGTTAAACCCACAGGGCTTTTACACTACCTGATATGTCAGATTAGAGATACATGCAACCAACAAACAGGTGCCAGTGACATGAGATGTTGCTGAGCATGCTCACAGTAAGCAAATAAAAAGACCACTTTAATTATAGACAAACAAATTAAGGAATTGTTTTTCAAAACTCATGAAAGTCAGCCAATTGTCATTTATAAGCATAACGAGATACCTTTAATGGTCTTTTATGTGCCATTGAAACAACATTCTGAACTGTACAAAATCCTATTTGATAAAGAATAAGAAATTCAGTTTTGGCCTTTTTAAAAATGTGTTACTGTCCTCAGTTGATTTGATTTCCCAGTCTACTCAGCTGTAAAGGGATGTTGATTCACAGTGTGTATCAGTAGCGGAGGATCCTAAATGTCAGCTACTCTGTCAGGAAAAAAGGAAGGTAACAACAGGTGTGAAGCTTGAATAACACATTCTGGTAGCTTCAGTCTTTAACCTTGTCTGCTGGTTGACAGCATCAGTTTTACTGAAAGCTCACTATATTATATCTAGTATTATCATTCCTCTATTCAGGCCCCCTCCCCCTCAACTAGCAGTGCCTCCTGCCACCTGCTAATTTTCCCAGCATTCTTATCACGCCACTAGCCGTAGGATCGGGGCCCACCTGAACTGTATGCCATGACAAACAAGAGGAAGCTAATCATTGGATAATGTTTTTGTTCTCATTGCTTCTGCAGTGTGTAGAGAAGAGCCGGATATAGTTTGGAACATAGACACCCATGCTCACCTCTCCCCAACCAGCAGGTCACATAGCTGGAACATCCTGGGGATTTTGTCACTCACTCTGTTGTTTTTCCTGATGGATGCATCTCTATTTGTGGCTTTTAGAAGTTATGGCTGTCAAAAATGATTTGCAGTGAAATTCTAGAGGCATTTGCTGTTTTATGAGTCAGTGGTGACCTGTTTAAGAGCCTCCCATATAATGTGGTCTTTGTTAAGACAATACTAATCATTTAGTAAGATTTCATCTCACATCTGCAGGGCTAAATGTGCTTTCACAGGCATAAGATATTCACTTCTCTAAGATGTGTGATACATTGATGAGCAAATAGTTGAATATTATCCTATTGTTGGCCAATGGAACCCCACACCGAGACCCTTTTGAATTAAAATACTAAACTAAAACTGGAAATGAGCTACAGTACATCCAGGGGCGACATAATTAAATGCTCGCAACACTCTGAGAACAACAGGCGCTGTTCTAGGTGAATTAATGCCTGTTCCCAGGTGAATACAGGGCCTGCTTTGCTCAAGGCGAACAGATGCCAAGACAGAACCGCACCAAAGGATGGCTGCTAGAGACGCACGGGCATTGATGTCAGCTTCAAACCTCACCTGTAGTACTCGGAGACAGCATTGATTCGTGTCCAGCAGAGAGAGACGGAGAGATAGAAGCCCAGCTATTGTTTATGTACAAGTCGTTTGAGGCAGATAAACTCATGCTCTGTGTGTGTGTGTGTTCTCCCCCCCCCCCCGTCTTGAGAAAATGATTCGCTCCATTCATTAAGGCTCCACAGAAGGAGATTCTATTAATCTGTTCATTAGGCAACATCAAAAATGGAACTACTTATTAAAATCAGATCCAGCTGTGTACTCTCGTTAAAGCCCGCCGTACCGTACGAAGCTTAACAATGCTCGTGGCACTAGACCAAAACCCGGCCACAAGAAAGGGGGAACAAATTCTACTACATTGGCCTGTTTTGACTCAACACACCATGATAATTGCTCTACTCTTAGCAGGGGGCTATGAATAAACATTACTTTTGTCAGCGAGCATCTGAATGCTCCATTTCCAATTAATTTACATTTACCCAGAAATGGAGGGAATATCTGCTCTTAATCACTATGTTTTATTTTCTCAATTTCCCTCAAGTATTTTCTCATTCTCTCATTCCCTGTCTGGCACTTTCATTCCCCATTCACCCCTCTCTTTCTTTTTCTACCTCTCTCTCTGGAAAATCCCATTAATCTCAGCCAGTGGTTTTGAACAAAAGCTATGGGCTAAGCGATTGATCCTGGTATTGATCCCACTCGCCTGAACGATCATAAAGGTGTTAAATTGGTTTCTTGGAGGATATGTATTTTTCATTACAGGCTGCTGCAAGGAGAAGTTCCTGCTTGGAATTTCTCAGATTTTTTTTAATCAAACACTGGCTATGATATTAAAATATTAAATAGATCACACCTAAAAAAGTTAAATGTGGATTTTTAGGCCAGCTTGAACACTTTAGAGAGTGTTTTCTGCATCAGCGTAAACCTTAGAAGCTAAAACCTTACGATGAGTTTTGCTCCATCCAAGGACAAGTAGAGACTTGGGATTGTCCCGATGTTTAAAGTAAGGAAAGTAAAAAACGATTCGCTAATGTTGAAATTAGTGGTGAAATCCAATACTTTTGCTATTTTGTTGATTTTCTTTAAATGAGCTCCTACAACGAAGCAACTCTGGAAATAAAACAATGCCTTGTTTTTAATAGGAAAAAGTTGTAGGAGTGATATCAAGTCTATTGTACATGTGGAAAAAGGATAACCACTAAAGGAATAACAACAAGTGTGTTTCCTACTCTGTCGACATACTGGAAACTCTAAATGATCTTTTAGAGATAAGAATGGACCGACTAAATAATCAGCTGTTTTATGGCTCTTAGTGAGTTCAACAAACTGCTCATTTGAACTTTGATGTGTCATATGTGAATAAATCAAATGGAGAAAGGCAACCAGCAAATGTTTTACTGACTGTATGTGCTGCATTATCACTGCACAGAGATTGTATTCGGGACTTCATGAAAACACGAAGCGAAGCGCTTGTCAACTCCATGTCAAAAAGTTCATACTATTAGAGAGGGCAGGCAGCAGATCTTGTAAGATCAGGCACCATGCATGTTGCTCACTTGACAGAGCAAAGGAAGAGCTTGTCAGGGAAACAGCTCGTGTCGCGGGCACTTAAAAGGTCACTGCACTGAACCCCAACCCCTGGCCCGCCCTCACGCCTGTCTGTCTGTCACCAGTCCCCCATTTCCAGGCGGGGGTCCCCAGCTCTCGTCTAGGCTGCTATCACCCACCGTCATCCTCTCTGAGCTGCCCCCCTTTGATGACCCAGGCCTCTTGTCAGAGAAGAGCTTCTAGGCAGGCAGAGTGAAGACAGCCCTTTGATGAGGACCCCGACACTTGCCAGCACCACTGACATGTAAGGGGGGTTCTTTGAAGAACCTTACATGTATCCATCCGTCCACACACACACACACACATACACATACACACTCATCCTGTTACACGTGCTTGGAGGGAATATGGAGAAATGAAGAGAGGAGGATTGGGACATAGAGAAGTCACTCTTTTGACTGCTTTCTTGCTCTCTGATGGTTTTAATGATTTCATTTGAATTGTATCACCCTGTGCTTGAGACGCCTTCAGTGTAAGGCCCAAACAACATGTATGTAAAGGAGGACCACAAAAAGAGTCCATGAATCTGTCAAAAATGTAAGAAAAGGTCACAGAAGCTTTGTTGTATTTTGTCATTTGAATTTCACTGATAAAAGAGGAATAGAAGATGCAAGGCATTCAAAGATTGGACATATTTTTCTTTTGCTACCTCTTGCTTACTTTGTATCTACCATATTTTGAGAAAGTTGTATTTCGGTGAAGGCATGATGAAAGTATGAGAATTTGGGAGCCACTAAAACTTGGTAGTACAGCTACCAAATGGTGATTTAGGCAAAAGACCACCAACATATTTGTCCTTCAACATTGTATATCCTTTCCAGGCCAATGTTAATGAAAGCCGTTGTTATGTCTGCATGAACGGTAAACAGACACTGTGTAACACAAGCTCCAATCTCCAGTCATAACAACCCTAATCAACAAGCAAAAGACTTCAGACTTGGCCAAACTGCCATGTCATAGTCAAGTTTTTGAAGTTTATGAAAGAGCTACAGTAGTCAACATCAAATTTCACCTAAGGTCATTGTACATTTCAGCAAACGGAGCGCTGTGCAATTTCAGACAAAAAAAAAAAAATCCTTTCAGCCTTGCTCATGCTGCACCTGCATGTGTCGCAAAGTTTAGCATCGATCCACATTCTTCCTCCTACAAGTACTAGTTGACATTGGTGATGAACATCACAAACAGTTCTCACAGTCTCAAAGCAACAAAGTAATTCACATCACCACAAAACCGCAGTGTGCCCAGAAAGACACATTATTCCCAATGATACCACGAACAGGACAATGTTTGTTGATAGAAAAAGAGAAAGAAAGAGCCTCTCATACATTTTCCTCATTCCTTCCCTCTCAATGTGGCCCTTTTTTGTCTGGGTCTGGCTATGCAGGGTAATGATTAACACAGCCAGGCATGGGAAAAGACACACAGTTACAATTGAGGGGGTTGTTTTGGTGTAGGGAACCACAAATTGACCTGCCTCACCTGGCAGGTCCCTGGGAGCCAGCGGCTGGCATGCAAGAGGAGGAAAAAAAAGGCTACTTAATCATTATCATCCGTGGAATCACTCAGAAACTGCTGGCAATAGGCAAACAGATAAACCTGGTCACATTGTTAATTAGGCACGTAGTGTAGCAAAGTGCTAAACTGAGTTTTGAAAGGTTCACATGAGAATTATGCCAGAGGTGAGGAACTGATGTACGTGTGAGCAAGCTAACCTAGCAAACAACTGCCTGTGATATGTAGGCTACAAGTCACTGAGTTTTAAAACCTAAAACTAAATAGTAAAAACAATTATTATTATCAAAATTCAGAGTTCTATCAGTCAAGACCAATACATGTTCAGAGATCTATGATGCAGACCTAAATCAACAGTTTGCATTGTAACCATGTACATATGGACTATAGTTATTAACAACCAATTTGTGTTTTTGTATTTCTCTTACCAGGTGGACGACCAGATGAAGCTGCTGCAGAACTGCTGGAGTGAACTTCTCATCCTCGACCACGTCTTTCGGCAGGTGATGCACGCCAAGGAGGGCTCCATCCTATTGGTCACTGGCCAGCAGGTGAGTTGGTCAAACTACAACTTCCTGGAACCTCAACCCTTTTCCCTTTCATTCCAAAATCACACATCCCTCGCTGCTTAGGGAACTCTGAAACACCTCAGCATTTCCCTTAAAGCCTTATTGATCACTGAGCCACAGAGGAGTCGCCGCTTCATTAAAAATAGATTATGCCTATAGATATATACTAATGTCGCCAGAATAATCAATTTTGCTTGTTTTCATTGCATTAATTATCAGCCAGCAAATAAATAAAGCACTTGGTTGCACATGCTGCAGGAAAGTGAGTGGGCGGACAGATAAAGAATGTGTGTTATTTTGTTGGGGCCTTAAGGAACTTGGTTGGAGCTGAAGCCTATCCTCAAAGCTTCAGAGTCTGTGATTTTGCTTTTACTTCAACACACACTGTCAAATAGTTAACACACAAACCCAGAGCATGCAGGGAAGAGTCCTTCAAGCGTGTGATTCTCATAATCCCATGCACACACAAAGACATGAGGCATATCAGGAATACGCCTCTGACCAGTGGCATGGCTGTCAGTGAGATAAGAAGTCATACATTATTGATCGGCTGGCTTTCCAAAACATTCCTTTTTAACAAAATGTTTTACTACAATAGATGCAGGAACACATATTGAAGAAACGCAAGTGCCATGTATACAGGGAAGACCTTCTTTACTTCGAGGGGTAAGCAAACCATGGTAAATAGAACGATCACAATGGAACTATTAAAGATATATCTACTTGGCTTGAACAAGTAGATATGCCAAATGGGTAAGGAAAAACAAAGAAAGAAAAGGAGGGAGAAGCTAAGAGAAGTAGGATTATTGAGGAAATAATTGATGGAGAGTGGGAGACATAATGGAAAAGGAAAAAGGACAAACGAATAAATAAGGAGGTGTAATAGAAATGTATGGTAGTAGAGCGCAAAGGAAAAGAGAGAATTAAGATGAGTATTGAAGAGGAGAAAATGACAGTAGATACGATGGACTTAATATGGGACAACATGGCAGAGAGAATAGGACAAGGAGGTAAAGGGAAGATGGTGTACTTAAGAAGGAAAGGAGGTGATGCTACCAGGAAGAATGAGAACATGGAGAAGAAGCTGATGAGAAATGGATTTAAGGTTGGATTTGGGAGGACAGGAGGAGCAAATAAAGGTGGTAATGGACAAGAAGTGACAAATAGGAAGATAAAGTGAGGAGAGATCTACTGTAGGCGAAGATGATGAGAGCAGTTTGAAGAGACCAGAAGAGTAAGGAGGAGGAGGAGGAGGAGGAGGAGGAGGAGGAGGAGGAGGAGGAGGAGGAGGAGGAGGAGGAGGAGGAGGAGGAGGAGGAGGGGCTGATAATCAGGGGAGGTGCAGGACGGCAGTTTCGTTTGCATACTTTGGTTAATGAACAGCTGGTGTTGAAGGGGGGCAATGGGGAATTCCTGGGTGGATGTGTGTGTGTGTGTGTGTGTGTGTGTGTGTGTGTGTGTGTGTGTGTGTGTGTGTGTGTGTGTGTGTGTGTGTGTGAAAGAGGCTCTGAAACAGTTCATTATTTCCTATTATTCTCTGTCTGGCCAGGGGTGACAGCGCAGCGATAACACCAGGGATATTTAGAACACAGTAGCAGCATTACCCAAGGCGATTGACACACACACACACACAAACACACATACCTATCGACACATATCGAAGTCAAAGCTTAGACATTTAGACCTGTCCGTCTGTCATGTTCAGTGAGTGTTGTGTTTTAGATAAGTTGTTTTTAGTTTGTCGGTTAATCCTTTTCTAAAGCTCAGAGGAGAATATGGGTAAAGATAAAGTTTGTTCTGGGAACAAATGAAATGTCCTCAGATTGGCAGATATTTTCAGTCATTTCTTTTTAAATGTGACTTTATAACAGGCGATCGGTTCAAATGGAAATGTAGACAGATGTTTCTCCCCTTTTGCTTTGAATCAAGAGTCTGCACTCTACTTTTAGTTATTCAGTTTCTGTCTCTTCTCATGCCCTTCAGCTTCTCACTTGCTAATTCCTGTCTTATTCTTATTTTCTTTCTTTCTCTGAACTGCTGCATGTCGCCATGTCACCAACAGCAGTGAGAAATGGCCATGGGTTTTTAGTTTTAGTTGAAAAAAGCTTGTCCTGTCACAGGATCAAAGGCACAGTGTAACTTGTACAAACAGAAGCAAACATGAAATGACCAAGATTGGACTGGACTGTTGAATGATTAAGCAAGGCCTCGCAGCTTGGCAGCTAGTTTTTGGTTTGAAAATCCTGATGTTTTGATAGTATAATGCTCCTGGTGTACATGAAATTTAAATGAAGAAGAAATGCAAAAACAGAAGTCCCTCGGCCAGCTGTAGATTTCTGTGCTTTTCAAACATTTTCAATCCCCATCTTCCGTACACTTCAAAGCCCTCTACCCATCAAACCGATCTCACCTTCCATATTCATCTTTAATGTTCTACTAAGATTGTTCATTGTATTCATGATGGATTTAGCTTTGAAGGTTTATTCATATATTTACTCTCTATGTCCCTCCAGGAGAGATAATAAAGTAGTATTGATTGATTGACTGATACGCAGGTCACCCAGGTTAGTGCTAAGTCTGCTATAGTGACATTATAGCGCTTTTTTCTTCTCTCTTTTACTTAAGGCTAGAAGGCAATAACCCAAGGCATCACCATCAACAGTCCAATCCTTCAATGAAGTTATTTCATGCACAGTTGATTTTATGTAAATTGATTGACACCTTGGAAGGGGGGCAGTGTCTGCTTTTCAACGAGTCATAACTCTTTACCGTCTCGAAGGGGAAGGGTGAAAAGAGAGAGGGACAACGAGTTAAGAATAAATCGGGAGAGCGGTTCAGTTGTGCAGTAAACGAGAAAAGCAGGGAATAAGACGGGAGAAGAGGGGAAACACATTATGTATTTACTTTACTCTGACCCTTACCTTCTTCAGAAAGATGAAAAACAGGCTCCAATCATCCTATTTACACGATAAATACATTCCAAATCCAGTGGTGTTTTTAATTGCAAATGGGGGCCCACAGGGACCCTCTTCCTCCCTGAGCTTCAGAAACTGTGCATGCCAACACCTACCTTCCCCTGGAAACCCTAGCACAGTCAATTATGGTAATGGATTGTCAATAAATATAAAAATGTTATATGGTCCTGCTTACTTTGAGTGGACTAAGGACTTGCCTCCCAGACAAATGTGCTGCGGCTGCAGATATGAAGTGCAGCTGAAAAGGAGTATGTTTGTGTGTGTGCGTATGTTTAGACGGATGGGTGTGACCCAAGAGAATGGTTTTATGGGAAATATATCTATGTATCTTGTGTTTTTGTCATATGTCCACATACATGATTTTGTTTTGCTGTGCAACACTAAACAGAAAGAGTCAAATCTGGCATGTCTATCAGTTGGAGGTGAATTCCCTAGCTCTTTCCATTCACCCCCAGCATGTTGTTATTACAAAAAAACTGTTAAACTTCAGAAACCTACCGCCTTGAGCTTTTCAAACATACATAGTGTCTCTCGCTCTGAAGGACAGACCAAAGCTTTAAGCTGTAGAGGGAACAGGGTAGGTACAGGAAGAATCATTACAACAAGCTCACGGTGGGGATGTGTTCAGGGTACAGTTGTGTGATAGTTGTCAATCATATTTGCACATTGGGGTTCTCGATATGTGTCATTGAATGAAATAACCCTTGAATTGACAAACTTGATAAAAACACATTTCGACAGTCAGACACAATGAAACCAAGTAAAGAGCCCAAATAACAGAGGGGAGGCTAGTATAAAAATAAATCTGCTGTATCCAGACAAACTGAGTTTATCTGTTTAGCTAGCCTAGCCAAGTTTCAAACAAGCTATAGCCACCTGGACATTCAATTCAACATGAATCAAAGAAAAACTCCACAGGGTACCGTTAATCCTTACGTTTATTTCTGCGTTCAGAGCATCTCCTTACATCACTCTCTCCCTGCTTATTCCAGGTGGACTATGCAGTGATTGCTTCACAGGCGGGAGCCACCCTCAACAACCTGTTGAGCCACGCCCAGGAGCTGGTGGCCAAGCTACGCTCTCTCCAGCTAGACCAACGGGAGTTTGTCTGCCTCAAGTTCCTGGTCCTCTTCAGCCTGGGTGAGTCTCTAAAAGCATTATGTGGGAAGGTTATGAGGGGGGAGGTTCAGTAGAAGGGTTCTGCACACGTGTTCCTGCCCCCCACCCCTGAAAAAGCATAGCTCGTGAAATATAAGGGGATCAGGATCAAAGTTATGCAGGGGAAAGAGAGAAGCAGGGAGGATGGGAGGAAAGGGAAACGGAAGTAAGATAGGGGGAAGAGGGATGGCATGGAAGAAAGAGAAGGAAATGGGACGAGAGGAAGTGGGAGAGCAGGAAGAGGACAGGAATGGAAAAAGAAAGTTGGGGAGAAATAATAGAGGAGAGGAATCATCGTCTTCCAACAGAGCGATTTATGAGTCATATACATGATATTTTTAAATCGACTTGGCAGCAATTAACTTTCTGCTAAAAAGATAATGGTTAAATGGCGTCCTAAGCGTGACTTCAAATGCGGCATTGTCTAAAAGTGAGATGGCGGCGTGCAGGTAAAAGGGTTTCTACCCAGGACAACTTTCCGGATATTCTTCCACAGAAAGGGCCATTGGGATAGTTACAGTATAGCAAGCTAACCCTTTCATAGCATGGATTAAGGTCACCTAGCGTATCGAAGACATAGCTTCTTACAAATCTCAATATGTTACAATGTTACAAACTCTTTATAGACAACATATTAAGGATAGGCAGGGTTTAGGGTTTTTCTCTCAAACTGAGATTTGGTTGGTCAGACAGCAAAGGAGGAAGTTCCGACCGAGGATGGGAGAAGGAAAGGATTAGAAGAGAAAGGACAATGATGAAGTTGGAGGGAGTGGGAATTGGTCAGAGGCAGCTACCGTGAAGCATTTGGGATACACAGGTGGGAGGGAGCTGAGGCTGGGAAGTGAGAGGGAGCATGGGATCTAGAATGGGGGGGAAGTGGAGGGATAAGTAGCCAAATGAGTTAAGGGACGAAGATAGGGGTACATTGATGTGTGTGTGTGTGTGTGTGTGTGTGTGTGTGTGTGTGTGTGTGTGTGTGGGTGTGTGTGTGTGTGTGTGTGTGTGTGTGTGTGTGTGTTCAGATCCCAAAGCTTCTCTCCACTGTCTAAGCCGAGGTCAGACATTGCCAGGAGACTGTCATCTCTGTCTCCTTCCTAACAAGTCAGCAGCAAATGGCCTCTGAAGAATACACACACACACACATAAACACACACACACACACGACCAAACCTATTTTAACATCCTACATTACGGAGGCCAATGATGTCAAGGTAGCTTCGCTCATCCTGGCCCCTGCATGGCACTGAGAGCAGCAGTGGCAAACACATAATGAATATTTTCGCCATCCCCAGCTTCCCCTCTCTCCACCTGTAATCCACAAGGGTCACGCTTCACTTCTTTACCCCCTCTAAACAAAGAAAGAGCAACTAATGAACTGCTCTGCAAAAGCACACACACGCATACACACACCGAGGTGATCAGGCAGGATTAATGTTTGTGTGAGGGGTGTTTGTGGTGCAGCGTAGAAAGATGAGGGCGTATTGCAGTGGGGGGGCTTTGGAGTGTGTATGTCTGCGTGCATGCGTGCATTTTTTTGCGTGAGTTTTTTATGGGGCAGGGGTGTTGCTGGGGCTCAGGGTGTAAATAATTTGGCAGAAACATCATCCATAATGAAAGGCTCACCTGAGGGATGTGTATCGCCCCCGGCAGTGCCTGTTCAGGCCTCCCGTGAAAGAAGCCCGACAGACTCCGTAGAGCTGGCTGAGAGGGGATCAGTGTTGGGGGAGAGGTGGTGGAGGGCGAGGGTGGATGATTGGGTAGGGGGGGGGATTTAGGATTGATCTGATTAATATCTCACACAGCTGAACAGAGATGTGAGGTTGAGATACATACATTTACCTACAGTGCATATGTTCACACGTTTGAACTCCAAGCAGAGCCAATTAATGAAGGATTGTAGTGAAATGAAGCATGAAAGTAGCCCTGCCCTGACTGCTGAACTAAACGATTTGACTCTTCCTCTTTATCAGCTGGTCTCTCAGACAGGGCTAATTTAAAAAGGGTGTTTTCATCACGACACGCAGGTTTAATACAGAGAACTACTGATTGTACTATACTGCAATTACCTTATTTACAACATGCTGCTGTAATCTTATCACAGATACTGTTTGAATATGTCTGAGGAAGTACTTTTATTTGGCACAAGACATTACACTAACCTTAACCATGCCTGCTCTACTGCTCTCCGGTCATGGAGGTAATGGTCTTTCACTCTGCTTCTTTGTTTTCCTATCCTTCTGTTTATGTCTTGATTTTTCTACGTTTTTCTCCCTCTCTCTCTCCACAACCGCCTCTTCCTCCATCTCTCTTTCTTTCTGTGGATGGATGGATCGTTCACCTCCTCCCTGCCAAAAGAGCTCTTAGTTAGGCCAGTGGTCAATAAAGACAGGGATATAGATGTCACTGCAGCTGAGAGGAGACACTTGTCCTGATCTCTCTGTTTGTCTTTCTGTCACTCTGCTCTCTCTGTCCCCTGTCACTCTTTGCTTGTCTTAAGTAAAGGCTTTCACCCTCTATCAAGGAGAGGAGATTATCACTCTCAGGGCATTGATCTGGTAAGTGTTTGTAGGACTGTGAGCAATGATTGTGCACGTTGGGTGTTGAGCAAGAGACCCACGAAAAGGCAGAGAGAGAGAGTGAGTGCCGCTTGGGTCAGAGTTCAGTAAAGGATTACTACTACGGTGTAGGAAGACTGTTAATGGGACTTTGATTTCCTTTAAAAGGCTCACAGGCCTAATAGAAAGACTGACAGGCTGTAGTATATACGACCAGGTGACATGAAAGCCAAGAGGTGAGAAATGGGTCACAAGTTCAAATGCAGGCTAGGGAAAGTGAAAAGAAGGCTCTCTCCTTTCAACTTCAAGGGGAATTAAAGCCATACAGAACTCTACATTAAATCTTCAAAATCTGAGTGAGCACTAGGCATCTAGTATTTGAAAAAAGAAAGTTATGTTATTTTGTTCTGCTTAAAACTTGCTTAACCCTCCTTAAAAAAGTACAACTTTTTAATAGAAGTGAAAGAATAACAAGCTTTACTGATCAACTTTCACAAATACTCATACAGATGCATGCCTGGTGATACCACACAGACAGTTTCCATACTGGCACAGCAGACGCACTGACAGAGGTCAGAGAGTGTTCGGCTAAGCAACCAGTTAACCCAGCTCTACAGGTCAGACCCCGTCAGGTGTAATTGGGTGAGACAGGCGCTGCCAGTCCTTGTCAGCCGAGAAAAGAACCAGAGTAGCTGCCAGACCAGCGCGGGGTGGTAAATGCTCCCAGCGGAGGGAGCAGATTTGTGGACATAGCCCTAAATAATGCTCCCATATTGAAGCCTTTTACTAGGAACAAAGCCAGGGAAAAGCTGCTAAAATGCAGGGAATTGAGCTTGTGTTTGATTTCTCTGTAGTGAAGGTTTATTTAAAGAAGTCACATTGGTAGTTTTATTAACTATATGTAAACTTAACTTCCACATTCTTCTCATATTTTCTATTTAACCCTAAACTCTGGAAACACACTGATCCATAATGCCATGCAAGTTTATTTGAACTTAATCATCATCAGTTAAGGCTGCAAATTATTATATTTGTTATCATTTATTGATCTGTTGAAGATCATGGGCAAAATCAAATCAAATCAAATCAAATTTTATTTCTATAGCACATTTAAAAACGATTTTCGGTCGAGCCAAAGTGCTGCACATGCAGATAATAAATAACACATTCCTACCGATGTAAACAGAAGACAATAAATTACAACATCAAATATAAAAATCAAACACAGGGAAGTGTCATGAGTCGTGCTCTGCTCTGATTAGAAGGCCAGGGTGAAGAAGTGAGTTTTTAGTTTAGATTTAAAAACCCCTAGGGTCTGGGCCGACCTCACATGGAGGGGCAGAGTGTTCCAGAGCCTAGGGCCAGCCGCCGCGAAGGCTCGGTGCCCTCTGGTTTTTAGCCTGGTTTTAGGCACTACCAGTAGCAGCTGGTCAGCAGACCTTAACGCTCTGGCTGGGGTGTAGCGCTGGATGAGTTCAGCTATATAGGCCGGAGCCAGCCCATTTAGTGCTTTAAAAACAAATAAAAGGATTTTAAAATCAATTCGGATCAGAATTGGAAGCCAGTGTAGTGAGGCCAGAATTGGGTTGATGTGGTCACGCTTTTTGTGGCCGGTGAGGAGACGTGCCGCTGCATTCTGCACTAGCTGCAGGCGTTTAATTGAGGCCTGGTCCATACCCACATATAGAGCGTTGCAATAATTGAGTCTCGAGGTCACAAAGGCGTTGATAACCCTCTCCAGGTCTTTAAAAGATAAAAAAGACTTGGTTTTGGCCAATACTCTTAATTTAAAAAAGCAGGATTTCACTACGCTGCTGACCTGCTTGTCGAATTAAAAAGTGTTAGTAAAGGTCAGCTTTAGTATCTGGTGTTTAGAATGGACAACAATAAGTAAGCCTTTAAGGGTAGACATGATCATCTTATCCAGTTGGGCACATTTTCAATTAAGGTCATATACTGGTTAACTGTCAAACAATTAAATGTATCCAATAATAACAAAATAGAACATTTAACAACATCATATTTTTCACAATATAAAGCCTATTAATAAAGTTAAATAATCATAACATGATTAAACGATGTGTAATGTTGGCTATTCCTAATTCTAGGTCAGTGATCTGAAATCCAATATTTTCCATTCATAAGAAACCAAGACAGCCAGTGATTCAAGATCTGCCTCGGCACCACCTTAGCTGTCTGTTCAGTGATTAGTCAGGCTCTGAGTTGAGAGACACCCACCTATCCATCCCTTGCACCCTTCATCCCTGACCGTCCCTCCAACCTCTGCATTGTCTCTTATCTCATTGCTCTGCACTTTGTCTCTCTCTTCTTTTCACATCTGTCTTTGTATGCCTCAATCTATCACCCCTCCATCCTCACATCTACCTCCATAGCTCCTCACTTATCTTTGACAACAGCCATTCATTT